ATCGAGGTCGATTATGTGTTACTAGTGTGGCAGGATTGTGCCACCAGGTTATGGGAGAAGCTCACTATTCTCGTTATTCTATTCATGCAAGAGCGAAGAAGATGTATCATGATATCGGGGAAATATATTGGTGGGGCGGAATGAAGAAGGATATAGCAGAGTTTGTTGCCCAGTGCCCTTATTGTCAGCAGGTTAAGATTGAGCATCATAAACTCGGTGGATTATTGCAGGCTATAGAGATTCCGACTTGGAAATGTGAAGTGATTAATATGGATTTCATCATAGGATTACCTCGTACCCAGCGTAAGTTCGATTATATATGGGTTATTGTTGATAGACTTACAAAATCAGCCCATTTTCTTTCTGTCAAGACTACGTATTCAGCAGAGGATTATGCAAGGCTTTACATTAAGGAGTTAATACAACTTCATAGTATCCCTATATCTATTATCTTAGATAGAGGTGCTTAGTTTACAACTAATTTCTGGAGGTCCTTCCAAAAAAAGGATTGGGGACTTAAGTAAGTCTTAGTACAACATTTCATCCTCAGACATATGGTCAGACTGAACGTACTATTCAGACACTGGAGGATATGCTACGGGCTTGTGTGATGGACTTCAGGAGTAGCTGGGATGATCATCTTCCACGTATTGAGTTTGCATATAATAATAATAGTTATCATTCCAGCATTCAGATGGCTCCATACGAAGCTCTTTAAGGACGAAAGTGTAGGTCTCCTATAGGATGGTTCGAGATTGGGGAAACTAAGTTAGTAGGACCAAAGTTGGTATAACAGGTAGTTGAGAAGATTAAGCTTATAAGGGAAAGGCTATTAGCAACACAGAGTCGTCAGAAGTCCTATGCAGATAATCGACGACGAGACTTGGAGTTTTAGGTAGCTGATTGGGTATTCCTAAAGGTATCACCGATGAAAGGCGTTATGAGATTCGGTAAGAAAGGAAAGCTTAGCGCTCGGTATATTGGACCTTATAAGATTATACATAGAGTAGACTTGCCTTCCAAATTGGAGTATGTATATCTAGTCTTTCATGTGTCTATGCTCTGTAGGTGTAATGGAGATCCCTTTAAAGTCATTCCAGTTAACGATGTTCAGGTTACAGAGCAGCTATCATATGAGGAAGATCCCATTGCTATACTAGATATACAAGTTCGGAGATTGAGAACTAAGGACGTAGCTTCAGTTAAAGTACTTTGGACGAACAAGAATGCTGAGGAGATCACTTGGGAAGCTGAAGAAGACATAAAATCTAGGTATCCTCACTTGTTTCCGCTTCTGGAGGAGGATCGGACTGAGAGATCACAACCTTTAGATTGGTAGTAGTACTGTTATAGAGGAGACTCTGCCAAATATTTCTATAGATCTCTGGTAGTTTAACATTAGAGGACGAATGTTTCTAAGGGTGAAATATTGTTACACCCTATGCGTCCCAAGATGACGTATAATGAATATGAGACTTGTTAATCATGATTTAAATGAGTTTAATTTCATGTATGACTATATATTATGTTTGGATAGAAAATATAAAGTTTGGAAAAAATCGGATTTAAGTTGCGGCAAAACCGACTAAGGATTTGCCTTGTAATAGATATTTTTGAAAACTAAATTTTGTGTGCTATATGAGGTCTTTTTGGGACATATTATATACCAAATTGAAGGTCTTGGAATTTAGTTTCAATGCTCTTAACTGTACATTCATACGACCCCCAGATAAAAAGTTATAAGCATTGGAATAAGGACCAATGCTAGGGTGCCAAGTAACACCTTTTGACTTTTAAAATATTTTTGGATATTTATATCCTTATCTCGTATCCTTCTTCAATTTTCCAGAGAACACGACCAAATAAGACCGCTAACCTTACTCGCAAGCTCTCCTCAAGGATTTCCAATGAGATTATCATCCGGTGTACGAAACCAAGTAGCGATAACATTAAAACGATCTCTACGACGTAAGTATCGCTATATCGCCTCTCTTTTTCTTTGTAGTTTAAGTTTTGGAAGGTACTTCATAGTTAAAAAAACGTGTACTTTCTGTATTTAAGTGTTTAAATATCAAGGAAGGTTGATAAATTCGTTTCCTAATAGTTAGAACTCACGGGACGGTGATCGGAAGCCGTGAGTTCGAATTATTTGACTTGTAGTGGACTGTTTTGTGGGTTGTTTTGTGTTGCCTTTTGGCTGTCTATTTTTCTACTATTTAATGGAGTTTTGGAGGAAAAAGTGTGTGGAGAAATACCACATAATGACAGAATGGTGGGCTGGTCGTTTGTCGTTACTTGTTTTTAGGTTGTTTGACAATACTTTGGTTGTCGTTTTGTGTATGAAGTGATTAGGATGTGTGGGCTATTTTGTGGTATATTGTGATGGAGATAAGATTGGAAAATGATGCTTACATGTTGTTATTGTTGTGTTCTTATTATTGTTGGTATATAGTATTGGAGGAGGGCCTAGTTACAGGGGAGATGCTGCCCAAATATATGTAAACGAGCTACTAGTTTAAATAGCGGACTTAGCCTTTACTTAGCATTGATTTTGAATCTCCTTATGTTGTGATAGATTGAGTTGAGTTGTTTGAAGAATTTCTTGGAAGGTATTAAGGACTCAACAGAGTTAAGGTATGTTAAGGCAAAACCTTTCCTTCATTTTGGCATGATCTCGTAACTACATATGTTTGACAACGAGACATAAAGAGAAGTTCGTATTCATGAATTTATTCACATTATCCTAGTCTGAGAATTTACAATGTTCTCCCTTATCGGGACTTAATATTCAGTTTAAGTATTGTTTTCTTCCAGTCAAGAGAGCAGAGGGTCTATATATATTCAATATTACAGTATTTTCAGCACCATCAAGCTATAATCGATGGGCAAGCCCCTACTGGGCAACCTCTGATCAGATGGTAAGTTATATATCGAGCCTACTGTGGCCGAGCGCTTATGAGCGAGCCCAGAACGGCCGAGATACAGAGCCTAGTATGGTCGAGCGCCTATGAACGAGCCTACTACGACAGAGTAGCTACACATACCGAGCCTTATAGGGCCGGGCATCTACTTTACTTACTATATTGAGAGAGATGAGTCAGTATTAGCAGATAAGCATATCTTCAAATTATATTTTACTCCCAGGTACTTTCAGTTATTATATTATCAGTTCAATTTCAGATTTTAGTTATCTTGTTGTCTTACATACTCGGTACATTATTTCGTACTGACGTCCCTTTTGCTGGGGGGACGCTGCATTTCATGCCTGCAGGTACTAATAGACAACTGAATAAACCTTCCTAGTAGAGAGAGTCAAATATCACCTTGGTTGGTAAGCTCCACTCCCTCGGAGTTACAGGTCGATACCTTGGAATCCATTTATATATACAGGTTTGATGAGTAGGTCGAGGCCAAGTATGGCACCGAATGCCGGCCACGCCTTTTCGGTTTTGGGGCGTGACAATATATAAGCCCAACAAGTTGCTTCCACAATCTAGTTAGTAGGTCTTCTTAGTAAAAATGGCACTGAGTGTCCACTTATAGGGAAAGTGCACAAACATCCATTCATAGGATAGGATGGCTATTCAGGGATTAGCCAATATTTATTTTGTCATGAAAATTTGAATTAAAAATTTTAATTTCAAGATGTGATGTTTAATAATTAAAGAAAAAGAAATTAAGCAACAAGAATATTCTGTGTAAACTGGCTATTTGCTAATTTTACTACCTTCTTTTTTGTTCTCCATCAAGGCATTGAAGGGAGTTCTTTATTTTAGAAGAGTAAAAGACGAGGGACGTAAGGAACGGGCCGCTGAAGCACCAGAAAAAATTCACCTGGAAACCTAACTCCGGTGCCAAAATACGCCCACTTTTTACTCTATATATGGCGATCAAACCTTTCAGAATTTGAAGTGGCCTGAACCATTAGCGGGTGTTGCCTTTTAATTTAGGCCATACTCAGACATAACAGGAGTATGCCCTCGTTGTAAATATCAAATTGAATGGAAATGCAAGTATAAACTCCTTACTGAACCTGCTAAGTGGTACACTTCCTACTTCTCTCCATTTCATAGATATACATTTTTCTGGTTGAATTGGGTTCCAATATATATATATATATATATATGGTTATAGTAGTTGCTTATGCTCTTTTGAGCTGTGTATTTGAAACATCTTTTCTATCCTCACAAGATAGGGGTAAGACCTGCATACACACTAACCTTCCCAGACTCGAGCAATGATACTTTGCATTCACTGATCGACTTAATTTTTTCTTGATTTATGATAGTCAGAAGTATTCGAACAGAAACATATTTCGCCAATCTTACCANAGAAAACGATAGATTCCAGACCGAGTGAGATGTTAACAAGTGTGCAATAATAAATATAAGAAAGAAGGTAACTAATATGTACTCGAGAATCTCTTACGCATTGGTTTAGTCTCTTCTTTTGAAGTGCTTAAACTTTCAATCATAACATCAAAATTAACACTTATTTTGCAACAATTAATAAAGGTTATTTGAAGGGGGGAAAAGCAAAAGAAAGAAAACAAATATTCAAAAGACTAAACAAGGCTCTTGCCTTCTGGTTCATTCATTAAGGATGCATCTGCTACATGGAATAATTATTTAGCTAAAAAGACAAACTGACACATGCAGCTTCAAGCTTCAGGAAAAACTCCATATTACTTGCGGGCTGCGGCTCAATCGCTTGAACTATATATAAGGAACCCTTTTTACTTGAATTAATCTGTATGTTCCTTTTAGGAACTTCAAGAACTAGTTGAAAGAAGATCTTATCTATTGAGTGAAGAGAAAAGGAAAGATTAAAGTTCTTTCTAAAAATGAGGTGAATTAGAGAACGTATTAATAGCTTTAAACTTAACATCATAATATAATGAACTAGAAAGGGGTTAAGTAATAGTAGAACCAGTAAATTAAATAAGAATTTAGTAGTGTACAATGATAATATTAAAAAAAAAAAATTACCCTATCAATTCAATTGAACTGATTACAACAAGTTATTAAGATATTTCTTCTTAACAAAACTTGAACAATAAAGTAAATAAAACGACCAATGACTAAGGAGATAGTCTCGGTCAACTGCAGCTTTCAACAATATGGAAAATTTGAAATATATAACTGAAGTGAATTAAGAGTCAACAATCAAGTCTTGGCAATTGTGCAGTATATTTGTTGATTGTCAAAGAAGTCATAAAAATGACATGGTAGCCAAATACAGAAATTTTCCTTACAACACCATGGTAGTCATTGCTTTGATTTCCTTTCTCCTATTACATCTCACGACAGTCACTATGGCTCTCATGCCACGGTACAATGCCACAGTCCATTTCTTGCTCAACTGTGGCGCATCATCAGACGCCACAGACGAAGATGACCGTCTATGGAATACTGATGCCAACTATCCAGATTACTTACCTCCAAATTTTCCAAGCATATCTACAACAGCCAACGCTTCTGGACAAGTCACTACAGTCTATTATATGAGCGCCCGTATTTTCCAATCTCAATTCACCTACAATTTCACTGTTTCCCCTGGCACTAAATTCATCCGTCTCTATTTTTATCCGACCGACTACTCTGGATTCAACAAATCTGAATCTGTTTTCTCAGTCACTGCTAATCATTATGCCCTCTTGAGTAACTTCAGCGCTTTCCTCACTCTCTCTGCTAGTGACGATGATGAGTCTAGTAAAGCAATTCGAAAAGAATATGTCATCAATGTTGATGAAAGTCAAATACTCAATATAACTTTTTCTCCTTCACCAAACTCTTATGCTTTTGTTAATGGGATTGAGATTGTTTCCATGCCAAATGATCTTTATATCCGTGGAGACGAATATGGCATCAAATTGGTACAGGGGCAGAATAATTTTTATTACATTAATAACAGCACTGCTCTTGAAACTTTGTACAGACTGAACGTGGGAGGCAATTCGCTTTCAAGCAAAGAGGATACAGGGATGTATCGTGAATGGGCTGCAGATCAGAATTTTGTTGTTGGACTTGGTTTTAAAACTCCACATTTAGATGTCAACATCACTTACACTTCTGAAACCCCGGCTTATACTACGCCAACCATAGTTTACACATCTTCTAGGACAATGGCAGATTACAGCCAGAGCCTGGATTGGAAATTCTCAGTAGATTCTGGGTTCTACTATCTGTTCAGGCTCCATTTTTGTGAGATTCAGCTGGAAGTTAAGGAAGTGAATTATCGGGTTTTTGATATATCCATTGGAAACCAAACGGCAGAGAAATTGGCTGATGTAATACAATGGAGCGACGGCTGGAGAATCCCGGTTTACAGAGACTACGTGGTGTATGTGAGAGACACAGATGGCCGGCGAAGCAAGGAAGATGTGTTGCTTGAATTGCGCCCTAACATGGAAACAAAAGCTGCCTATGCTAATGCTATCTTAAATGGCTTAGAAATTTTCAAATTGAATGACACAATTGGAAATCTGGCCGTGCCAAATCCTGAATTGCACTTACAAGTTCCGATCAATTCACCACCAATCAACAAAAAGAAAAAATCATCGCATATCATCGTTGCTATCATCGCAGGTGTGATTGGCGGAATTTCTGTTTTCTCAGTTCTGGGTCTATTTATTTTCCGGCGATGGAATGGGGGAAAAGAGTCTGGTACAAGTGTTCCCAATTCATCAAAGTGCACGCAAAAGACCGGCGGCTCTGGCTTATCATCCGATCTGTGCCGACACTTTTTATTAAAAGAGATAAAAAATGCAACAGACAATTTTGATGACAATTTTGTGATAGGTCATGGAGGCTTTGGTAATGTTTATAAAGGATACCTTGATAATGGTACCACCATAGTTGCAGTGAAGAGATTGAATCCTTCATCAAGGCAAGGGGTTCGCGAGTTCGAAGCAGAGATTGAGATGCTATCATCGAAGCTAAGGCATCGACATCTGGTGTCCTTAATTGGTTATTGTGATGATAACAATGAGATGATATTGGTTTATGATTACATGGCTCATGTAACCCTCCGTGATCACTTGTACAATACAGATAATGTTCCTCTTCCATGGAAGAAACGCCTTGACATTTGCATTGGTGCAGCAAAAGGATTGTATTACCTCCATTCGGGTAAGTAATTAAATCCAGACGACATTTGCAAAACAGGTCATGATCCAGCCCGTTTAATATCTGTTGGCTTGGGTCAGAATAGGTCAAATAACAGGTCAATGGCTCAATGTCAGTTCGCACAACATGACTCAATCTCCCTTTTTGTTTTGTTTTCTTAAAATATGAAAGCTAATTTATTTTTCTTAAATTATTAGATTATATTTCCAAATTTACATAATCGTAATTCTAGATCTCCAATTTGGGTATTGTGTGTTTGATTGCATTTTGACCTGTTGTGTTACACTATTTGATATATTTTAATCCAATAGTTTGACGAGTCATTTCGAATTTACCTAATTAATTGGGTCAAATCATAATCCAATACATTTACTCTTGAGTGGATTACTTGAAAAATGAGTTGATTTTGCTGCTACAGGTACCAAACACACGATCATCCACCGAGATGTCAAGTCAACTAACATCCTATTGGACGATAAATGGTTGGCCAAGGTGTCAGATTTTGGATTGTCCAAAGTAGGTCCACTTGGTGGGACAGATATTACTCATGTTAGCACGGCTGTGAAAGGAAGTTTTGGGTACGTAGATCCTGAATACTATAAGCGACAGCAATTGACAGAAAAATCAGATGTGTATTCTTTTGGGGTGGTTCTGTTTGAAGTGTTGTGCGCTAGGCCAGCAATAATTCCTAACTTGCCAAAAGGCCAAGTGAATTTGGCAGAGTGGGCTTGTAGGTGTTGTAGAAAAAGGAATCTTGAACAGATCATTGATCCTAACTTGAAAGGTCAAATTGCCCCTGAATGTTTAAGCAAGTTTGCAGAATTGGCATACCGTTGCTTGAGGGATCAAGGGGTCCAAAGGCCATCAATGGGTGATGTTGTAAGGACTCTAGAATTTATATTACAACTTCAAGAGGCTGCAGATAATAAAGGTCATGAGTTGGAAGGGTACATATACCCGCCCAGCCCGTCTTTTTGCGTGATTACTAATGGTGATGCCAATATGTCGACCGATGAAGATGAGGTTTTGTCAGGTTCCGGTGAAGTTGAAAGAAAGTTGGCAAGCAGTGGTACATCCGTGTCAAAAAGAATGAAGAACGTCGCCATTTTCTCTGAGATCGTGAATCCCTTGGGCCGATGAGATTGTTACGGTCGGTATGCTAAAGTTTCATGTATGAGTTTTTTTTCCAGGTTTTGGTGATCAAGTTGAAGGTCCTATTCGAAAAGTAATGGTTCTATCCGCAAGTTTGATAAGATACATACTGTCAACTTTTTCCTCTCTTCTTCTTTCCCTTTGTTGAATTAATTTCCTTAGAATATCGATGAATTGTAGTGAACATTTGAAAGTATATAGCTATAATAAAGTTTCACTAAATTTTTTTCTTATTTGATTAATCGTTATGGTAGACACATACGAAATGTAGGGATCTACAACTTTTTCATAAAATTATCAAGAGAGAAAGTTAATGTCGTAAAAAGAATTTAAGATTAATGTTTATATTCCATGGAGGTACATGCCTGCCTCTTTTGTTTAATAATTTGCAAACTTTTCTTCTAAAGGGATAGCTTTCAGAGGCGAATTTAAGATTAATGTTTATGAGTTACTGCAATAAAAATAAAAAAATAGTACGAGCTAGCCAATTTTCGGACTGGTAATTAAAAAATAGTCAGTGTTTGCAAAGTCATTGAAAAATAGCTACTATTTTACTGAAACACGAAAAGTTCCAACATAATATACTGGATGATGGAGCTCCTGCACATAAACTTCCAGCATATTATGTTAGAACTCCAACACACGAAAAGTTCCACCATAATATGTTGAACATTGGAGCTCTTGCGTATGAACTTCCAGCATATTATGTTGGAACTCCAGTACATCATAAAATTCCAGCACGTTATGCTGGAATCTCATATGTAAAATTTCGAACTCCAGCATATTATGCTGAATTTTTTTCCCGGATTTTTAAGGATGTTTTCGAACTCCAGATCATTATGCTAAATTTCGATTACTTTTGAAACTGTGGCTATTTTTCAATTACCAATTATAAATCTGGCTCTCGAGATCATCTCAAATATCCCATAAACTCACGGGATACTCACAAATAGATCGAGATGTGGCCGGATAATTATTAATATCCACAACATACTTTCATGGATATCAGATACATCCAAGAAATTCTGCATCATCTTACGTTAGAGAAACACACGAATCACGAAGATAATCAAAAGAGAAGAATCAAGAGAGAAACTGTAATGACCCGACCAGTCGTTTAGAGCTATAGCACATCGTCCGGCGGTTTGAGGACCTGAACAGTTTCACTTCAGGTATTATGACTTGTACCGTGGTCAGAATTGAATTTCGGGAAGTTCGGAGTTGATTTGGAAATAAAATTCTAATTTCGGAAGCTTCAAGTTTGAAGAATTGACTAAGGTTTGACTTTTGAGTAAACGACCTCGGAATCGGGATTTGAAGGTTCCAATAGGTTTGTATGATAATTTTGGACTTGGGCGTATGTTCGGGTTGAGTATCGGATCACCCGAGAATATTTTGGCGCTTATTGTGGAAAGTTGGCATTGTGAAGGTTTTAGAATTTCTTAAGTTTGGTTTGCGGTGGGCTTTGGTGTTATCGATGCCCGTTTGGGATTCCAAGCCTTGGAATAGGGTCGTATTCTGATTTAGGACTTGTACGCAAAGTTTGACGTCATTCCGGAATATTTTGGTATGATTCGGATGCGTTCGTCGAAGTTTAAAAGTTTAAAAAAAGGTTTCGATCGTCGATTCACAATTTTGATATTGTTTGGTGTGATTTGAGACCCCGAGTAGGTTCGTGTTATGTTTTGGGAGTGGTTGGTACGTTTGGATGGGGTCCCGGGGGCCTCGGGTTTGAAACAAATTGAGAACGGATTGAAACTTGAAATTTAGGACCTGCTAATGTTGCTGAAATCTGGTGCCATCGCACCTGCGGAAGGAGTGGCCGCAGGTGCGCTCACGCAGGTGCGAAGATTTCATCGCAGGTGCAATTATAGTGGGGGAAGTCTAGGAGCACAAGTGGGAGGAAATTTTCGCACCTGCGAAGCCGCAGACGTGGAGAAGAATCGCATAAGCGGAGGTTGGCCAAGAAGGCCTGGACCGCAGAAGCGAACATGGTCGCGCAGGTGCGCGAGCGCAGAAGTGCTTGAGGCCCGCAGAAGCGGAAGCACAGATGCGCTGCTTGGGGCGCAGAAGCTAGGGATGTTGGTTTGAACTGGAGACGCACCTGCAACGGATTTTCCGCAGGTGTGGAGCCGCATAAGCGGCAACTGTTCCGCAGGTGCGAGGAAGCGCTAGGCAGATATGATTTTTATATGGGATTTGGCCCATTTTCTTTCATTCTCTCTTGGCTAGGGCGATTTTTGGAGAGCTTCAAGTGGAGATTTTGATCATCTATGTTAAGGTAAATAATTCCCACATATTGTGAGCTAAATACATGGTTTATATGTGGATTTGAACATGGAAATGAGTAAAATTTTGGAATTTTGGTAGAAAATCAAGAAATTGATATTTTTAGATTTTGACCACGAAATTGGACATGAAAATTGGAATAAATTATATATTTGAGTTCATGGTGTTATGAGTAAAATTTATCTTCGAAAATTTTTCGAAATCCGGGCACGTGGGCCTGAGGGTTGACTTTATTGACTTTTAGAGTAGAGTTGGGAATTGTTATAAATTGATTAATTATAAGCATTGGAGTATATTTTGATTGAATTGCACATTGTTTGACTAGTTTCAGATCAATTGTCTTGAATTGAAGAGTTAGAGAGACGTTGGAGCCGTTATGGAATTTCGGAGCGAGGTAAGTCTCCTTTCTAACCTTGTGGGGGGAAAACTACCCCCTAGGTGATGTAATTGCTATGTGATACTAGTTGTGGGTGTTGCGTACGCACGAGGTGATAAGAGTCCGTACGTAGCTAAGACATATTTATGTCTGGGTAGACTTAGGACCTTATTATGAAATAATTGAATTGTTTGAACTCGTTCTGTTGGCTTAACTAATGGAACTTATAATTGAAATTGATTTAGAAATAAATATATGTATATTAGGCCGGGCCTTATCACCTTGAGTTGTTGGCTAGTTATTTGAAAAACGGTAAAGATTATATTTACCATGTACTCATATACTGTATTGTAAGCACGTGTCTCGTGATTCGATAACTTCCTTCCTTTCTTGTGGAGGGGCCAAATACCTCGACCGTATAATAGATGCATCTATGGTTCGTGTCGCTCGACCCTCGGTAGTGTACACATTATTCTGGATCGGACCGAACGACCTCGGCATAATCGTGCATTATATTGCTAGTAGTCTGAACGTTCACGAGATTATCCTTCCACTGATGCCCGGCATTTTACATGGTACTTCTTATCCGTTTGTTTCTGATACTTGACACATTTGAGCTGATGAGGTAGAATACAACACTGAGAAATTCATACTTTAAAAGAAATATTTGGAAGATTAGGTAACTTACATATTTACCCTATTATGGTTGTGTGCTTCACATCAGCTTATTGTTTTATTATATTGCTTGTTGGACCTCTAGTAAGTGTCGATGTCGACCCCTCGTCACTACTTCTCCGAGGTTAGGCTAGATACTTACTAGGTACATATTGATTTACGTACTCATACTTCACTTCTGTACTAAATGTGCAGGATTTGACAAGTTCATTTGGTGATCATCTTGGCGCGTTGGCACAACTGTTGAGGAGACTTTAGGTGTGAGGCCCCTCAAAAATTTCCTATTAGTCCGAGGCCACAAGCACACTCACAAGTCGCTTAAGTGTCATCTTGCCTTCCACGATGGGTTAAAGACTGTAACAACTTAGATGATCATGATAATATGTGTAGGAGTTATATTGGATATTGTTGAGGTCCTAAGGAGACCCTAGGACTAAGCCATGTTGGGAACTATGCAATGGGCTAAAGTTTCAGAAAAATTCGTATAAGATCCGACTTCAAACGCATGCTGCTACCAAATTATAAAGACTTAGGAGGTGATCTACCTATAAAATTAAAGCCCTCTGAGTCTATTTTCCAACTCATCAAACCATTTGTTATTTGGATATGTATACAGAAGGTTATGGCCATTTTACCGGACCTATGTCATATGCGCGCTCAGATGCGCGACCGCGCATATTTGGGAGTTTCTGCCTTGTGTGCATGTCCAGATGCGCGGCCACTTGCCAAGGTGTGTGGTTGCGCATGTAGGATCCATATAAATACCCCCAAGGCCTGGTAGGGAGAGTGGCTAAGTCATTTCTTTGAGCTAGGGCTTGCTCTATCAATGGGAATCCGTCCTATACTTCCCTCCCATGAACCAAGGTAATATTTTTGGAGTATTTTGAGTTGATTACTACTCCTCAACACTTATATTAACAAGGATTAATCTTGAAGATCCATAGATTTCCATTTAGATCCCAAAATTAGTCAAGAACACTACAAGTTGGGATTCTCAAGAGTTTCACTATAAGAGGCATGTCTACCATCTCTAACTAATATATGGTGATTAATTATGTATGAAATATGTGTTATGACTTATGGGATGGTGATTGGAAGCCATAAGTGCCTAACCTAGGTTGTGTTGGTATTGTAGAGGTTGTAAAATGAATTAATTGATAATATTTATGGGTTAGGAGTGAAGTGTTGGGCATGCATGTGCTAATGAAAGTTGCGAGGTGAATCATTAGTGTGGAAGGTAGTTGTTAGGTGAAGAAATTCCATTGAAGGAGGTTGTAGGAAGATATGCACACTAGATGTTTGTTAAAAAGTCTAAATGACTTAAAGTATAGAAATCTTACTAATATTGGCGCAAATGTATTGTATTGTTATAGATTAAAGTTGTTTAGTGTGGTGGATCATCGTAGTATTGTTAAGGGGCGAGTTTCAGGTATGTTGGCTAAACTCTTCTTTAAGAATTGAATCTCACGCGACCCTTGTAAGTTCCAGGATGCTTATTATAAATCGAGTATTCCAAATAAGTTTTGTGACAAAGATATATGTTCAATTCGTGTTTCAAATGCTCTTATAATGTTGTACTATTAATTGAGGATGTGTTCCAAACTATGGGTTGGGTATCTACATGTTATAAATCCAAGTCGTGATTCATGTGAAAGTTATTATGCCAAATTGTGTAGAGATTGTGATTGGGATTACACCTCCACCCGCACGTATTGGGGTGAGGCGGCAGGGCCGCTTCGTGTAGGATTTTGGTATTGTTGTTG